TATGTATAAATTAGCCAAATATGTAAATCCTATTGATGAAGCAGGAGGTGGATTCTTTCTCTGTGAAAAACAATACTTATTGCGGGGGCCAAAAGTAATTATTGCACACAATAATAGGATATTGTCACGCTGATGCCTAATTCAATCTTTGGTGTGTTTTCCAACATTGAAGCGCAGCCAGACATCATGTTTATTGTAAAGACCTCAATGAAGACCAGGTTCATTCAAACAGGGCGGGAGTGAGGCACAGTAATTCAAGACCCATAAAAGTCTCTGGACATAAAGTAAAAAAACAATATAAAACATACCCAGTACAATGGTCAGAGATACATTACTGATGTGTTTTCCTTCTGGTCAGTATAAAGAACAACCCGTTGAGTATGAAGTCAAGTAGAGGTTCATTTAATACCTTGGATTGTCATGATTATCTACTCAGGTAACGTCTATTCTAAGCAGTTAACACTTAATTTTGAACTGTTTATAGTTTCCCTACCGTACATTTTCAGTTTTAGGCCTCGGAGACCCCAGCTATAAATCACAGCTAAACGATTTTAAAGTCTCATTGACCTTTCTGGCAAACAAACATGTTTTTGTCCATGCATACTAAATATGAAATGTAGCCTATCCTGATTTGATGTAATAATAATGGTTTATAGTCATCCAACTTTATTGCATGGGTTAACGCTTCATTACTTTTCTACAAAGTAGGCTTTAAAAAGCTTAGAGACAAGCAAAAATATTATGGGCGATTGTTATTGGGAATTATTACTTAAGTATGAAGGCTACATTTGCAGTAAGCACACAATTCGAACCGATTTCTTTATAACAGGTCACTTTGAACTTTGCTCATATATGCATTGCAGTCTGAAGCACGGAATTTCACTAAGCTGTTATCACCTGACACCTTCCGCTGCACAGAGGATTCTGGTATATTAAGTAAAGCCAACTCTGTGTTAACTTGTTCTGCCAAACTTTATAGTGTAGTATGGATATTAAAACGAAGTCTGCCTACCAGCATGCCTATATGTCACTCATGCCACATTTTATCTTGAGAGTAAAAAAAAAACCATGACATTTTAAAACAACACGATGTGGTTTTCGGGGTAGATTTGTGCAGGAATTTTTTTTGGTAAGCAGCAGTGACTTCCTGCTGGTTGAGTTATGGTCAACACAAAAACCTCAGCCGCTGCCCCATGACCAGAGATGGGGTCGTTACTAAAAAAAAAGCAATATATTACATATTACATATTACTTAAAAAAAAAAGTAATATATTACACTACTTCGTTACTCTCTAGGCCAGTGGTTCCCAAACTTTTTGTGCCCAAGGCACACCAAAGGACAAGTAAAAATCTCAAGGCACACCTATTGTGCAAAATAGCCCTTATAACACGTGTTATCACTCATATCATGTAAAATATCTGTAAATGTGCATAATTATTTACTAATGCCAAATCAAATGTGACAAAGACAACTATATTACTCGTGAAATATTTATTAATGAAATATTTCAGAAATTAATTTGAAACTTTATCAAATTAGGCTTCATCAAAGCAGCAACACACTCATTTAAACCAGACAGGTCGCAACATTAAAAATGAGGCAAAGGAAACTCAGCAGAAATTCAGCACAGAGAACCGTCAATGCAAGGAAGCTGCATTGTCCATGGTCCTGAACTACAAATTATAAATGTAACATTTCAGCAATCAGCATTGAAACATGTGCTATTGTAAATATGTTGCCGATTTACAAATTAGTGAGATACATGTGCCTGTCGGGCCGCGCAGAATTTTTTAATCCTTGGTGGCACTGAGGAGAGGGCCACTCGCAAGTCCTGTTCAACAGAGAGCCGTGACCTCCTGTTGTTCTTCATGTAAATCAGAGTAGAGAACGCCAACTCCAGAGATGGGGTCGTTACTAAAAAAATGTAATATATTACATATTACTTCAAAAAAAAAAACTCGTTACTTTACTCGCCGAGCACGTACGAACTGCACATACGTGAGTGCCAATAACTTTCCTTACCAGCAGGCGGCGGTAGTGTGTATTTGTCATTCAAAACAGGCAACAACCGGAAGACAGAGAAGAAGAACAGACTGCGTGATATAAACAAACTACAAATAGCGTGTGCGTTAGCTTCACCTTAGCATGTGTTCTTTGCAGGTGTTTGTTGAGGTTTGACGTGGTGTTTACAGCAGTGGATAACAGCTTCTGGCCTGGACACAGTTTGCACCTCACCGTCACATTCCTGACTATTCTTTTGTGTAGTTGTATTGCAATAATAATGTATGGTTGCCACAAAATCCCACGGCACACCTGGACTTGCCTCACGGCACAAGAGTGTGCCGCGGCACACCGTTTGGGAACCACTGCTCTAGGCTACATAAAGTAACTCGTTACTTTACTCGTTACTTTACTCGTTACTTTACTCGCAGGGCCGGCCCGCCCCTACAGGCAGATCACGCAGACTGCGGCGCACCTACAGTGTAAGCGCGTCACAGTTTTGCCTCTGCGAGACTCCACTTGCAACCCCAATTACTATTGCATTAAGGAAGACATAACACAAGTCTTTCTTTTTATTTGCTCTAAAATAGGCTACCAGCCTACCACAACAAGCTAACAGTCTGTGAAACGTCAAGACACTAATTAATGAAACCAGTTCAAGACGCATTATTCGTATCATTCTTTATGAGCGCATAACGGTAAGGTATCTAATTACTTATTTATTTAGTATTCCATAACTTAGTAACAGAGATGGTCAAACTAAAGTGGTAGAGACATGGCAGAATTCCTACAATGAAGCGGGGCATTGAACTGTTCACCCGTGAGAGGGCGATCAAGAAAATAGAGCGAGCGGCCCCGTTGAGGGAGTTTACAGATGAAAAGACTCAGCCATGTTTATGCAGCACTGCTGCACGTGGAGATGTGGTCTCGCAAATCACGCAGATTACATAGGCCTACATGTATATAAACCGATATAAACCTGCGGCGGAAACCCCTCTTGTCTGTCAGTGAGTGTGATTATTTTATAAAAGTAACGAAGTAACGCGTGTCGGGGCAATGTTAGTAACTGTAGTGTGATTACTGAATTATAAAAGTAACGAGTTACATTGCTCCGTTACCAACAGAAGTAATATTATTTTTGTAACGCGTTACACCCAACTCTGCCCATGACCTCTCCTTCAGGTGAACAGCAAACCTCAGGACCAGTGGCGGTTCTAGACCAATTTGACTGGGGGGGCCAGTTATTTTCTGAGGGGGGCACAATAAATGCAGAAAAAGAGAACTAGACAGTATGAAGTAATTGCGTATAAGAAAACAATGCAATACAGTTATTGGTATTTGTTTCAGTACAATTATTTATTTCAGATATATCTTATAGTTATTACTGTTAGCTTCAGCTTAAGTTATAGTACAATTTTTGCACTAACACCATATCATATTTATATAAAAATAAAGGCAATGAACAGTTACATCTCTACTTTACATCTACAATTACACGGATACAATAGTTTAACTCACCTTCAATTATCGTGGTAGTCTCTCGAAACGTTGGTTTCAATCAGTCTTTCTTGGATGCAACAGCCTCTGATGATCCGAGATGAAAAGTGTTTGTTTTTCGCGCGCTTCACCCGGACAGTGAAAGTGAGTGCACCGCTCTAATGGGTCCGACTAGAATGACGAATAACGTTAGTTCCGCCTATTCCGTCATTCAATAAATCTTGTAATAAATCATATATTTTTCATTATTTTCACTTTTCATTTTTAGGGGGGCCACAGGGGGGTCAGAGGTCAGTGTTAGGGGGGCAGTGCCCCCCCTGCCCCCTCTAGAACCGCCCCTGCTCAGGACTTCTCATAATTTTCATCTTTCCAGTTTTTTTTTAAACATTCCTCTGTGATTGACCTTGGCAATTGATTATTTCCCAACAGAATGTAGAAAAGTAAATTAATATTGGTTAGTTTCCACCATTGAGTTTGCAGCTGTGTTTTGCTGTGGCCAAGCCAAACAGCTGAGCAGCTACCGGGCCCAGGTGTATGCTGGGGGGTTTCCTGACTCAGGCCCGGCTCTGCTGCCCCCAGCCTCGAGGTGCAGACAGAAACACTGTCTGGTTGTTTCTGATACAATAACACCTAATCAATCACCAGGTTTTTATTTTAGTCAGCATTTTGACATTGCAAGGGGTAATTCATTTCCTTGCAGCTTAATATTTTAACACTCATATACCACTACAAATTGTGGTATTGCCAAATCAAACAAAGTGGAAGCAACATGCCAGATGTTTGGATTCTTTAATGAACCTGTAAATAACTTCAGAACAGTGGCATTAAACAACCTTATTGGATTTTCAGACCTCACTATATACATTTTTAGAGAAATTGATGTTTACCGCTGTGACTTAAATGCTAATGCATGAGAGGCTCAAACTGCTCTGCTGGATAGAGCTTTAACAGGTTGGTTAGCAGGCTTTGGTTTGATTGGTTGGCTCAGAAGACCTAAGACACGCAAACTGCGATCCAGCCTTCATTTCCATGCACTCAATACATATTTTTTAAAGGTCCCATGTCATTCTACTAATCATAATTCCATTATTGAGGTCTACTAGAATAGATTTACATTGTTCAATGTTCCAAAATCACACTGGTTTTCTCATGCAGCATCTCTGTATAGTATGTGTATTCACTCTCTGTCCTAAACACCTTGTTGATTTTCATTTTAGGTACAGTAGATGCCATGTAATGTCAAATAAGAACAATCTGTGAATGTGCTGCATACTTTAGTTTTAAACCTTTTTTTCCTAACTGTCCATCAGGAGTCTGATGTTACAGGAGTGCAATGATGAATCAGTGGCATACTCTTAGAAAATCATGTTGTGTTAATTGACTCACAATATTTGTGTGACATTTCATCAAGATGGACCTTAAATGGATGGTTCGGATTGTATGTTCTGCAAAATGTGCACCTTAACATGTGCATAACAGGAAATGACTTCACACGGTGAGGTAGGGGATTTATTCATTTAATTTATTAAGATGCTACATAGTCCAACCAGGTTGGGTCTTTTTTATACACCAGAGACTACTTGAACTAGTAATATTAATCTTCTTCTCAGATAGACTTATTTATTTATTTATATACATACAAAACAGTTTGCCGACTGCTTACATTGATCACGGTGATGGTCAGAGACTCCAGGTCAGTGTAGTGTGTTTTACAACCGGGCCTGGATCAATTAGTATTGACACGTAATTGTTATTGTTTGTTTGATCCTAACTGGAGTACCAGGGGTTACTGCGTCAAAGCAGGATGGTGCTTAATAATATAATTCAAATGACAGTATATTATGGTACTGTAAAATGTTCTGAAACTCCAACCAGGATTCAATGAACAAGAAGAATGATCTGTCAGTACTATATGACCCAGGTCTGATAACCCCAGATGGGACTGTAGATCAGGTCTGTCTGTCTGTCTGCCCTCCCTCTAAGCAGCAAGTAATCCTCAACCCAACAACTATACAGAGATACAGTAGAAACACAAGCTCATGTATATTTTAACCTTTTACTTCACAATCATATCCATCATATCCCCCTCCACCTAAAATGAAAATATGGTGGTGTTATGTATTTTTCTTTCACTTAAAGAAAGGGTAATGCATTCTGAATCTCATGTGGATACAGAGGGAAAACAATATGAACAACGGCTCTTTATTTCTTCTACACTCACTCTCCATTGTCTTTTCCCCCCTCATGCAAATTTGGAGATGAAACTATTTGAGCGTATGTTTCGGTTTATTTTTGACCAAGACATAACCATCGGCTCTAGAACAGTACAATGTCATCATGTGGTCGCCTCAAGGATATAAGCTAGGATGTATGCCCCCCCCTTCCTCTGGCTTGAGAAGAAAATCAAATGTTATGCTGCAGGAAGATCAAAGGAGGGACACTCTTAATCTTAGTGCATTAAAATATGAATATGACTTCAAATGCAGTGAGGGTATAACATTAATAAGCAACGGATCAATGCTGAACAAACACCAACAAACTAAACACAGGCCTGCAGTGGAGTGGAAAGAAAATCACACAAAAATCACCAGCAGCAAAGAAACTGGAAACACTCAGTTGATCTCTGACATACATTTGCCCCAAACAAAACAGAAAGTCAACAAATGTATGGCTCAGTAGGAAAATGTGAGAAAACAAAAAGAGCTGGAAAAGACCAAGGTCTCTTTGAGAGGACACTGAAACAGGACCTTGGTGTTGTTGATGCTGTAAGGGCAACACATAACAGTCACATGCACCTCCTGTCCACTCTTATTATACGTATGCATGCTTTCTCTGTGTGTGTGTGTATTTCTATATATATATATATATATATATTTATGTTTATGTACTGTATATACCTTTGTCTTGGCCTGAGAAAAACTTGCCCAAATAGGTTACAAGGCAAGCCGTTTATCTGTTTAACATGTACAGAAATCGTTCTACAAATCTGGAGTTCATCTTTGTAGCTGCAATATCCTTAAAAGCTTTCACCCTAACAACAAAATAATTACTTAAAATCATAAAAATCCAACAAAGACAGAAAGAAACTCTGAAAATGAAGTTGTGCAAACCTACAGCCAAATTACATATTATAATCACCATTATAAAAGCAATTCAATTAGATTCAAAAAGTCCAGATGCAACACTCTGTGTGTGAACGCATGCAATCAAACATCCCCCCTTCTGACAACTGGGGGTGCGGTGAGCAGTGAGTGACAGTCAACGGGTATAAAGTCAGAGTGAAAATAATAAACAACACGAGGAAAGAAAATACGAATAGTGTTCACTGATCAAAGTTGTTCGACAATCAAAGACGAGCCGATTTGACAAAGCCTGTGATTGCAGGAGTCAGTTTGATAGCCCTGTGTGTGGATCATTCCTCTGGAAAATCCCTTCCTTAAAGGAGTTTTAGCTGGAAGGGATACCTGGATATAGTGTGTGTGTGTGTGTGTGTGTGTGTGTGTGTGTGTGTGTGTGTGTGTGTGTGTGTGTGTGTGTGTGTGTGTGTGTGTGTGTGTGTGTGTGTGTGTGTGTGTGTGTGTGTGTGTGTGTGTGTGTGTGTGTGTGTGTGTGGGGCGTTTACGTATACATACACATCGGCTCTGGCCTCCATCATTTAGAAAAAGAAACAACAAAAAATGACATTCACACACTTTCAAACTTACTCAGTCGCAGCAACACTACCTCGCCGGTGTTAGAAAACTGGTCTTGATCACTTGCATTAAATCATGTTTCCATTACTCCCCCCCCCACAGTCATCTGTATACATGAAACTTTGGGAAAGAGGGCCAGAATGACTATGTGATGTTTACATAGAGGCAAGACCTGTAACAGTTGGTTTGTTCTTTAGATGATGAATGGTTTTTTTCTTCTTTATTTTCTCATACATTACCTTTTAAAATGTTACATAAATGAGACTGAATCAAAACTAGTACCACCCCCCACCCAGTGGATATGGCATTTCTGATCCAAAATCCCAGATCCCGTGTTTGATTTCTTCCCCCTGAAAGCATGCTGCGGCCCGACCGAACTGCTGCCATCTACAAGACCAACTTGCCCACGATGACGCCCACCACAAAGAAGAGCACGATGAGGGCCATTGTGCGGGCGCTCAACCCCTCGTCTTTCTTCATGCCAATTGAGGTGTGCTGAGATGACATCACGTTACTCTTCCTCATCCGCAGACCATCGTCCTCCTGAAACAGGAAGAAAAAAAGCAAGCGGAGTAAGCGGGATTGTAAACTAAAGCCACAATAAGAAGTGAAACATATTGTCATGATATGAAACTAAATAAAAAGAATATCCTTTCAGTATTAATAACGATATTGCCTGGCCATTCCAATGTTTGTGTTTTTAGCTAAAAAACTTCCCTATCACTAAAAAGGAGATGGCATTAATTTCCATCAACCTAATAGCAATGGCTTCACAATAACCACAATTGTTTTTATTCTGTTGTCTAGTCTTGTAGGTCTGGAAAAATGTTCTTCCTAGTGTCGTAGTAAAGAGTATACAAGTTGATTGCTAAATCTAAGATTTTAGCATTATGGCCATTAAAAGTAAACAGTTCTCTAAAAATGTATTTTTCAATGTTCCGGATTTATATATGACTCTCATAAAAACACTAAACTGGTCTAAAATTAAAACAGAATAAATAAAAACTTAAAATGAAACTAAACTATAACGATCAAAACAATCTGAAAATAAATAGTGATTAAAAATTAGATTAATAATAACTATATAAATAAAAGAAGAGGGAGAAGCGTGGTAGGAATGACGAGGTGAAGAAGAGAAAAGATGACATGTTTAAGAGGGACGGCCATCTTCTCGATCACTCAATTAGATTAAAAAAAGTATTTATTTACAAGCTCAAAGAAATAGGATCTGCTTAAATCTTCATCTGACACAATCCCCAGAGGTCTGCAGAAGGCGCCAGGCTTTAACACACTTCATTTCCCTGCAGCGGGTGGGGGGGGGGGGCTCTCTGTTAGTATAATCTCAGCCACAGGAGCTGCCAACAGTCGTTCTGCCTCTGGCAAGAACCTAAAGGGAAGGAGGTGGCAGAGTGTGTGTGTGTGTATGACTTATTTTGAACTAAACCTTAACAAATCTCAATTTTAAACCCATACTTCACTGATTTGTTTCACGTTGTGATTGATGGCGAACTCATTGATTTGCAAAATTGCCTTTGTGGAGCTTTAGCGCCTGAGGTCTGCCACTGATTATAGATCTGAGCAGTTACGCTTCACTCTAACCTCAATCTGGAGTTACTGTCTCGATTCAAAGAAACACAGCAAAGGGTGGAGGGACACCCCGACCTCATTTTGGAACCACCACTCTGTGTGAATCAAGTTTCCACTTAATTTTCTTATCTTGAATGGGAAGATCAATCAGTATAAAAAAAGAAATAACCAAATGTGAGTCTGGATGTTCAGTCAGGGCTGAAATCGAATAGTCCATTTAGCTTAGGAACCTTCCTAACGGAGTGAAATGACCCGAAGTCCCTCAGTGACAGCCATGATAAGTGCCGTTCGAATTCTCTAGATGATAGGAAAGGAGGTTTCAAACTTCCTTTATAACCTCCTTTAGCTTAGGAACCACTGGACCTCCCTTGACGAAAGGAGAGGAGAAAATGCTGCCCCACAATGCCTTGCAGCCGCAGCATTTACCGTCTCACAACAGTCGGCCGTTCACAGAAACAACCGATTATGAACGAGAAATGATATCATGAAAGTTACGGTGCTTATTAAGCATTTTAAAACGTATGTGGTAAGTTGCCAAAGTGCTTTGTTTTGAACGTTCATCAGTATTATAATCAAAAAGAGAAATATGAACGTTAGTTTTTACTGAAATTATCAAATAAAGTCAACATCTCTCAGTCTTTACTGAGCTGTGTGGGGTTTGTTCAACTTTTAAAAGATGTTTGAATGGTGATATACACAGTGATAGATGTTAAGGACTAACGTTTATAATAAATACATTTGTATTGATTTTAAGATCTTTTCATACAATCATACGTATTGGGATCATTTGTATTAATGTGGACCGGAGGGAGAGGGTGACGAGCATAAGTTTCACTTTCCTTTTTTATTTCAATTCCAACTTTGGTCATGAAGAATATGTTTCTCTGTTGTCCACGTTCATAAAGCATAAAGCAACAGCATCAGAGCACGGTGCAGAGTCTCTAGATGAGTTTACAGTAGTCCCTCGTTCTTATTAAACATCCATGTTGTAGTCCGCTATAGAAAACTGTAGTTTCCATAGTTTCCCCACAGCAGCAGACGCACATTCATGACGTCCACTGGCGCATCATAAACACGTTGGATAGTGAAAGTTCATTCGGATTCTCTAAAGTACCGCGGTCTCTTCTCCTAAGTCCTTTTGAATTCTCCTATCCACTATCTCTTAACCCCGTGATGTTTCACTCAGAGGTCAAGGAATAGACGATAGGGTTAGAATTTAGGAGCTGATTTTTGGATTATCCGACCGCAACCCAAGTCATGCTAATTCTGGAGATTGAGATGAAAGAGATTTGATTGTTTTGCTCATTTAGTGAATTATCACTTTCTCTCTGTATTTGAATTAAGACTGAAAAAGAATAGGCAACTTGGTTTGAACTATACCTTCATCGTACAACATATTCAAGGTGAAACAAATGGCTGATTATACTTTTTATATCAAGTCCTATTATTTTCAGTTATAGCATCTTAAGTGTGAATATTTATTGTTTTTCTTGGACTTTTATGATATGACACTAGATATCTTTGAGTTTTGGACTGTTAGTCAAACAGAAACATTTAAACATGGCAATTTCTATGGGACTTTACAATAAGCAATTTTCCCTTTTCTTCTATTATTAGACCAAAGTTACTTGATTAATCATGAACATAATCAGCAGACTTTATATATTATAACATCTGATGAACATTTGATGTGTTGATTAATACAGTAACTAATATCTATTAACCTCTACAGTATCCAAATATGCCCAGTTAATATATTCCATGCTTGTTTTCTTTTTTGGTTAAATGTACTAACTTAAAAATAAATCTATAAATGTATCTGAATGCGCATCAAGTGTTTAAAATAAGTAGAATCTCTGCTAAACCTTGTGAAATATTAAGCGTGTGATTTAAACACTGGAGCAGATGACTAAATGATCAACAACATCATAGGTCAGCTTCTGTAATTATTTCAATAAGGTTGCAACTTCGGTTTGAAAAAAATGTAATCACCAGTTCACCAGGGCAGGTATTACCTGACAGTCTACTTTAATCAGAAGTTAGTATAAAGTTTGTATTGATTGGATGGATTGTGTCATTAATAGTCTACCACCTCAGCTAATGCCCTTAACAAAAAGGAATCATCTTTGAGACTGAGGCTGCAGCGATGCCTTTGTCTTTACTGTTGTGAAAAAAACTAAAATGCTGAACGACTGTTGTCCAGAGGCCTGTACTACGAAGCCAGTTCAACAGACCCTGGATATGATTGAGTTACCCGGCTTACCTAATCCAAAACAAACGCGCTCTCGCTAAGCGGTCCTACGACGCTGGTTATCAACTCGGTAACTCAAGCCAGGGTTTCTCTGTCCGGCTGAGTGCGCATTCACATGAAAGGGGCGGGGTTAGCAACATTTGACCAATCACAAACATGGAGAAGCGTACTGACAGTGCAGCGTCATATTTCCTGAATGAAAAGTCAACTATAATATTAGACATATGAAGAAGTTAAACTTTAAACATCCATGACTTTATCCAGGATACAAGCCACATAGCTGCAGCTGCAAGGTGAATACAGCTGGTAAAAGAAAAAGTGTTTGAATGCGTACATTAACAGGTTTATGATATCACTGACACGAGTGGATCCGACTCTAATTACATTTGACTCGAGTGTTTCGTCAACTTAATGTGTTGCTTAAAATAATACTTCTATACAGTATGTGACACTGAGTGTTGCACAGCCAGATACGGCTCAAGAAGCTGACTCAGATAAGGAAATATATGATACATTATGATGTGATGTGATATGAATGATAATGGGACACATCGACGTCTGCACTCACAGTGCCGCGGACTGTACGTAATGTTACTTTGATCCGGTTACTTATGTTGTGGCAGATATTTAAGTAAGCTTTCTTAACGCTAATGTTATAATAGTCAGATTGCTCTGAAGATGGGAGGTGATATTCTATTCATTTTCACGTTCACACAGTCAGTTGATTTTGGCCGGCTGTCTTTCCTGCAACGGCAGTTCTTATTCATAACACTCCGTTCGATGTCTCACTATGGGATGCGCCTCATCGCGGAGCAAACAGAAGCATCAATCTCATTACGCCAATCCTGATTGGCTGGTGATCTTGACGTCAGCGTCAGGGAATTCACCCCCTATAAGTAGCTTGCGCCACGACGCATGCGTCATTCAAACACCTCTTCTCGCTTCAGAGCACATCTCTATAGTAGCCGGACAAGCTTAACGGTCCACAGACTGAACCCACTTTTTCTCTCAACGATGTACCTGTTACGAGTCGGTCCTCTCCACGCCACGAGGCGAACAAGATGGACGCCTCTCCCCCTCACACCAGAGGAGTCAGGGACTCGGAGGCTCGGTCATGCGGCTGCGGGTTGAAGATAGCAGGCACAGACTCACACCAGGTCTGCTCGTCCTGCCTCGGGCTGGAACACGCCCAGGAGGCTATCGACAACCCCGGCTCGTGCGGGCATTGTGCCCGTTTCACCCGAAAGAGCCTCCACCGACGGCTAGCATACCAAGCTAGCTTGTTGGAACAGGACTCCCTCATGTCCACTGATTCGCCGTTTGGCAATCAAGACACAGGGGCGTCCGCCGCAGAGACTGAGCCCCTCACTGTGTCGGTCTGGGGCTCACTAACAGCGGCAGCTGCGGTCCGGGATCCCACGCCGTGTCAGGCCGGGACCCGGTGGCGGCAAGAGACGCGGGAACGGAGCCCCACGCCTCACCAGGCGGGAGCTCCCGGCGAGACCTCACCATGGTCTCGCCCGCAGAGGCTCGGCCTGCTCCGCATACCGCCGATGGAACTGCTGGTGGCAGCCCAACTCCTACCGAGGATGAGCCCGTCACCAAGCAGGAACCCCACGCTGCCAGCGAAGCTGGACCGTTTCCAGTCGACCATGACTGAACGGTCCTACAGAGCCGCAGCGTTGTCCGCCAGGGCTCTGAACGTTTCCTCACTGCTAACCGCATACCAAGCGGAGCTCTGTGAGGATATGTTGAGTAATCCTGGACCGGCCGTTCTGGATGAGTTGGCCGGGGTCACAGACTTTTGTCTCCGTGTCCAACGCTGCGCCGTCCAGGCCACGGGCAAAACAATGGGGATCATGGTGGTGCAGGAAAGAGCTAGATGGCTCAACCTCACCAACCTCCCAGACCGGGAAAAGGAGGATGTGCTTGACATGCCCATCGTTCCCGAGGGGATTTTCGGCTCCGCTCTTGCCTCCATGCAGAGGAGATGCGAGTCGAAAAAGAAGGAGGACGAGGCCCTCTACCTCTGCCTCCCTCGAAGGGCCCAGCCGCTGCCTTCGCAGCGGCAGCCCTTCGTCCAAGCTGCTCCGAACCCTGCTCGGTTCAAAATACCGAAAACGCAGAGGTCGCAGTCCGCCCCGAGTCCCCAGCCCAGGCAGGGGACGAGGGCGAGCTGGCCTAGAAAATCTCCGGTTCCGGCTGCAGCCCAGGCGCAGCCAACCCAGAATTTCGGCCAGCAGTCGAGGAAGAAGAAGCGAGCGGCGTGACAGCCCCTCCTTCTCCCCTCTGTGACAGAGCTGGAAGTCTACGGTTCCCCAGCTTTAAATGTGTTCCCGCCGCCTCGAGAGATGCCTCAACACCATCCTCAAGTCCGCATAAACACATGTCACACACTTATTGATTTTTCTGTCATAAAACATTTTCCGCTCCAGGCTTCGAGCCAAGGGCGCAGCTCGAAAAAATGAAAAGAAAAACAATAAACAGTCCGTCAACTGTTCCCCTTCTGAGAGCAGCTACGGCCTCTCTCAAAGGGCGGACAATTGACGGGTCTGTGAAGGCACCACCGTCACGCGCATGCGCAGTGCCGGCTGGACTTGTAAAGGTACCACCGTCACGCGCATGCGCAGTGCCGGCTGGGGTCGTGAAGGCACCACCGTCACGCACATGCGCAGTGCCGGCTGGAGCTGTAAAGGCACCACCGTCACGCGCATGCGCAGTGCCGGCTGGGGTCATGAAGGCACCACCGTCACGCGCATGTGCAGTGCCGGCTGGAGCTGTAAAGGCACCACCGTCACGTGCATGCGCAGTGCCGGCTGGAGCTGTAAAGGCACCACCGTCACGCGCATGCGCTGTGTCGGTGGGGATTGTCGAAATGGGGCACCACAGTGCTCAGACACTGGAGGGCCCCATAACACAACAAATAGAGACTCAGAGGGGAAGAGACGTGACATCTCAGCTGGCTCTAAGGAGCATACAGCGGGAGATGCTCACGACATCTGCTTGGGTTTCTCAAGACAGTTACACGGAGCTACAGACTCCAAGTCACCGTCACCCCCCCTCGCTTCTCGGGCATTCTGCATTCGCAGGCCCGAGGAGAGTCAGCCCATATTCTGGAGAGAGAGATTCTCTCACTCCTAGAAAAGAGGGCTATATCTATTGTACCCGCCGAGCAGAGTCAGGGCGGCTTCTATTCCAAGTACTTCCTCGTTCCCAAACGGGGAGGGAACGGAATTCGGCCAATACTTGATTTGAGGGCTCTGAACAAATATCTAAAAATATATAAGTTCAGAATGCTCACTCACACATCTCTGCTGCGGCTCGTGCGACAAGACGACTGGTTTACATCAGTCGACCTGAAAGATGCGTACATCCCAGTATATTACCCACACAGGAAATATCTGAGATTCGCATTTTAGGGGATCTGTTATGAATACAGAGTACTCCCCTTCGGTCTGTCTCTCAGTCCAAGGGTGTTTGTACGATGTACGGAAGCCGCGATAACCCTGTTAAGACAACAGGGTATTCGCCTGGCGACCTACCTGGCTGCTTCTCGCACAGTCGGAGCAGGAGGCTGTTACGCAGACAAATGTCCTCGTAAAGCACCTGCTCAACCTGGGTTTCATAATAAACACAGAGAAGAGCATGTTGTGCCCCGCGCAGACTATACTCTTCCTGGGTTTACGCCTGAACTCGGTGCCCTTTTCAGCTCGCTTGTCAGCGGAAAGAGTGAAAGCTTTCAGAGCTTGTCTCGCTCTTTTCCAGCTGCGCAAACATGTTCTCTTCAGATCATGCCTGCGATTGCTGGGGCTCATGGCGTCAGCCATCCCGGTCGTACGACTGGGACGCTTACACATGAGGGAGTTTCAGCGCTGGGTGGCCGCCCTAAAACTAAAACTAAGCCATGGCGCGCGGAGAGTTATGGTTACTGTGAAATGCGTAATGGCACTGCGCCACTGGCTGCACCCGACTTTTCTAGTACGAGGTGTGCCTATGGGTGCTGTCCTTTCACGGAAAGTGGTCACCACGGACGCATGTCTGACAGGTTGGGGAGGTATTTATGAAGGTCGCCCGGTGAGGGGTCTCTGGAGCAGAGACCTCCAGCGGGCGCACATAAATTACCTGGAGCTTTTAGCGGTGTTTCTCACCCTAAAACGCTTTCTGCCTTTCCTCAGGGGACCTCACGTCCTCGTGAGGACAGACAATACGACCACAATATCGTATATTAACCGCCAAGGGGGTTTGCGTTCTCTCCAGTTACACACACTGGCGCGCAAACTGATCCTATGGAGCGGTAGACGTCTCCTCTCTCTGAGAGCGACGCACGTACCGGGAGTGATGAACCTCGGGGCAGATCTACTGTCCAGAGGTATACCACTTTATGCAGACTGGACTCTACATCCAAGGATTGTGAGCCAGCTGTGGGTGCGTTACGGCAGAGCCGCGGTGGATATGTTCGCATCGAAAGACAACGCTCAGTGTCAGCTGTTCTTTTCGATGCGCGATCTAAATGCACCGTTAGGCGTGGATGCACTCGCGCACGATTGGCCCCCGGGCCTTCTGTACGCGGTCCCACCCCTGGCTCTGATACCCCCAACTCTGGCCAGAGTGAGAGAGCAACGCCACACACTTATCCTGATAGCTCCGCACTGGCCAGCTATGTACTGGCCAGCGGAGATATATCAGCTGCTATGCGGGCAGCCATGGCAGCTCCCACTACGCAGGGACATACTGTCCCAAGCGGGGGGGGCGATCTTTCACCCACACCCACAGCACTTGGCTCTATGGGCCTGGCCCGTGAGTGGTACAATCTGAATACAGTGTGACATGAAGCTGACCCTGGCAGCTGCCAAGCGAGCCAGTGGCACTCATGCGCTATCTTAGTCTTTATGCACTCAGTTCGCCCCAGGGCAAACAGAGTGTGGTTGAAGCCCAACCCTACCTTTATCTTAAGGCGGTTGGTTCAGGTACCACATTTGACATTGAGGCATCCTCCCCGCCACTGTATTCCTCCGGGGAACAGCGGCCGGATTTGCCGAGTCCAGCCCGTGCTTTACGCACGTACAGGGACAGATCAAGGGTGCTTCGTCATAATGACCAACCCCTTGTGTCCTGGGCTAACCCTTATAAGGGCAAGCCTGTTACTAAGCAACGGCTCTCCCACTGGTTTGTGGAAGCAATTGCTTTGGGGCTCATACGAGTCAGAGTTCGCAGGCACCCTCGGGTCCGCGACCTCTTTCGACTCAGGGTCTGGCTGCATCCTGGGCTCTGTCCAGGATGTCTCCCATCAAAGACATTGGTGCAGCGGCGAGCTGGTCCTCACCGCTCACTTTTGTCTGGCTCTTAACAGGCTGGACGTTCTGCTCCCAGTGTGACTCAAGCAGTGCTGGGCACCTGGTTGAGTCAGAGCTCTACCTGTTAAGTTCTGGTTGGTTTGGTGATTTTCGAGATAAGCTCGTCTGACAATACGGGAGCTACAATTTCCCATAGTGAGACATCGAACGGAGTGTTATGAATGAGAACTATAGGTTACTTGCGTAACCCCAGTTCTCAGAGTAACATGAAGTGAGATGTCTCACCAGACGGCCCTCCTTGCTATGGTGAAGCGAGAAGAGGTGCTTATTTTGAATGACGCATGCGTCGTGGCGCAAGCTACTTATAGGGGGTGAATTCCCTGACGCTGACGTCAAGATCACCATCCAATCAGGATTGCAGTAATGAGATTGATGCTTCTGTTTGCTCCGCGATGAGGCGCATCCCATAGTGAGACATCTCACTTCATGTTACTCTGAGAACTGGGGTTACGTAAGTGACCTATAGTTTTTCTGTATTTCCTCTATCCTGTAATATGACTTGATCGCTTTAAACTCCGCACACTGAGCTCTGATTGGTCAGCAGGCAGTGCTTTCACTGAGTTGATCTCTTAATAATAATAATAATAATAATAATAATAATGGGTTCCATTTATAAAGCACTTTCAAATCCCGAAGTGCTACAAGTAGTGAGCATGAACAGTATAAATAAACATTACACAACACGGTAGAAATTAATTAAATAAATAAAAGGGTGATAAAAAGGTCTAGTCAAAGGCTCTTTTGAAGAGATGGGTTTTGAGGCCTTTTTTAAAAGCCTCCACGGTCTGTGGTGCTCTCATTTGGTCGGGGAGAGCATTCCACAGACTGGGAGCAGCCGAGCAGGAACCTAACCTGCTCCGGAGCAGGTTAGCCGCTCAGCATAAGTTACCATGGAGATCTAGCCCGCTAAGAAGTGAACCAGCGTCGTAGGAGCGGCAACACAGAGTTTTCCATGAAGTTAGCCGGCTAAGAGAAAATCCGGCTTCGTAGTATAGGCCTTCGGAGTCATCTCACTCACCCTGATCTGTTTGTTTTCTTCCCGTAGCCTCTGAGCCTCCATCTGCAGCCTCTTGCACTCCTCCATGATCTTCTTTACCTCCCCGTCATCGAAGGTGGAGCTCATTGATTTTGGGGGCAGCGTGGAGGAGTCCGACTTCAGCAAGCTGGACGACATCATCTTGTTGGACTCCATGTCATGCTGTAAGTGAGTTAACAGGGCGACAACATATAACGCAATAAGTTCTCTGTTTGCTGATACAATTCTGACCATTGACTTGGCTGGCACTCGGGTGAAACGTTATATTTTTATTTGGAGACTTGCAGACTCACAGAGCCTCGTTTCTAGCTGCCTAGCACCATGTTTGTGGGAGAGTTCACCCAGGGGTGCCTTTCATAAGTGGATCAAGCTGTTTTCTATCAGCAATATCTCCGTCTGAGGGACTCTGTGGTGCTGACTGGGAGCAATGTGTATGTATCGCACAGCTCAAAATGAATTGAAAACAACCACCATGGACTCAGCTCATATCGTGAAGAGGTAATGTATCTACAGCTGTGTGGGGTCCGATTGAATCACAACAATAATAAACTACATGTGAGAATGAACAAAGTGAAGATTAATGCTGAAACATAAACAAAGTTGAGAAAATAACAAAATATAGAAGAAGAAGACAGTCGGTCAGTCTTAGAGTTTTCAAAGAAGAGGAGAGGTGAAGGCCGAGATGGGACAGGATAAAGAAAGAGAAAGCAGTAAATAGGTGGGGAGCAGGAAAACAACAATAAACATCAGAGGATTAGGAACAAGCATAGAAATGCACTCTACAGAAATAAGCAGTAAAGATGCAACAATGTGTTAGGTTTGCTGAACACCAGCAGCTTGATAGAAATTGAATAACATATTTTATTATATCTTTTATATTTTAATCAATATTTTTTCTCATAAAAACAAAAAGAAATTTTGAAAATCTTTATTTTGTGTCCAATGTTGTAGGATTTATTTAGTTAGCAGCTGTGTAATATGTTGGGTAATATACAAGGAGCCAGTCAAAAATAAACTCCTCCTAGACAATATTAACTTGCTGTACATTCTCACTGCTTGTGGTACTAATGTGACGCATCACTCCCTGTAGTGTCTCTGATCTGTGATCTGCAGTGACAACCAGAGCTGACGTGGTGAGGCGAGGAGAGGAGAGGAGTGGTGTCACGGCATGTACTTACTGTTTTTTCATTCTCCACTGGCATGTCAAAAACACATCTCAGCTTGGAGTCCATCAGCTCATCTGGCTTAGCCTCCTTCCACTGAGGAGAGAGAGGACCAAAGATAAAGAAAAAGTCAACCAATTAATCATTTATATGTGATCAAGACCAAAGGGACCATTTGTAACAGACTGCTGATAATGGCTCTTTGCAGCAGAACAACAACTTAGATAACAACCCTCGTAGTTTTTGGCTATGTTGACATATTAAACATTCTTTCAAAATGCCTTGATTTTGAACTTACAAATAAGGTATCTGCACTGTATGGCTCTATTATATATAATATGGCATCAAATGTTTAATAACCAACATTCCTTTTTCTTTCGTTAAATTAAATTCATGTATTTCATTGATTGATCCAGTGTCTGTTTTTTGCAATATACATTTGAAGCATTTGCAAACACTGAAGTTAGTAAAAGGAAAATGATGGTGAAACGTGATTGTAGGAAGAAGATGCACTCACCACTCCCTCCATGTCGGTCATGTCAGGAGGTGCTAGCACGGACTGCACCATGAACTTGTGTTTGCTCTTCTCATTGGGATCATAGTCAAAAGGCTGCAGCATAACTGAAATTACAAAAGGATAGTCAAGGTCACTTATGATCCTATTATAAAGCCCCTTATTTTACATGACTTCACATGACAACATGTTAAGATGACGTATTAACAGCAAGTGCCCACATCCTTTTTTCAGTCATTTCATTGTTGTTATGAATCCTTCAGTTGTTTCCCTTTTTGTCAATCTCATTCTGACCTACCATTCTCAGTAAACTGAGGAGAATGTGTCTTGTTAGTATCACTTCAACTGGGGCAGACAAGCAGGAATACAATTCAAGTTGTGAGTTAAAATCTGCCGCCCCAAATACAAAACGAACTCCAGCGTATAAGCCGATACTGTTCTTTGTCAGCAACTTTCCATTTCTCTCCCTTTCTCAACTCTGCGTCCACTCCTTGGATTAAATAGGAATTAGTGAGTATCAAATACCCATGTGTTTGTCAAAAAGAAACTAGGTCCTCCACGTCTTCAAGGCTTGCTCGGAAAAAGCGGTGGAGATGATTTATTTCTAAGTTTGTGTTACCATGACGGCGAAACACTGACGAAACTGTGAATACCCCGGGGGGTAATCTTTTCAACAGCTTCCAACCCTGTCTGTTTCTTTCTCAACATTACATATCGCTCTAACAAAAAGCAGGTGTGGGGTTGGAATAGGACTTCAGCCCATCCCCACATTAGTCCTCCCAGTGAGTGGTGTGTTATTTGATTTCCTTCCAATGACCAAGAAGGTATTTCAAAGCTGCAACGATGATTTACAATGATCACTTTCTTATGTCAGTATTCAAGTAAAGGTTGGAAGTGCAGAGGAGCATGAAAAGAGCTATTGATGGATGATCTTTCTCTCCTTTGACTTTTTAAACGAGGGTGTAATTGAATGGCATATTTTGACATCAGTACCAACTATATCTACAACGTCTGCGTGATTCTTTGGCTTCCATAAGAAACAAATGACCTCCTAATTTCATGGCCGGCGTAGCCATCAGGATGGTTTTCAAATATGGCACATGCCAATGTTCCCTAGAGTGGAAACCTCAGAGATGTAGTGCACCATTACAGCAATCAGAGCAGTTCAATATCGCAAACCAGAAACAGACGGCATGAACAGATTGAGAACGTCCTGTTTCAGTCAGACCCAATTTGCACGGCCATCCACCTCAGGTCCAAGGGGACGCCACGAGAGAATGGAGGCAGGAAGGCATGTAAGTTCTTTGAGCAACAGTGGATAACGTTTAAATGTAAGTTCCCCCAGAGCCAAAGCCTGAGATGGAAAGAGCCCTGCCACAGAGGAGGAAAGAAAACAATTAAATCATCTTTAATAAGCAGCCTTTGAACACATATTTAATAAAAAGCTACTTCTGCTAATGACATGATTTAGCATTCTTTCACACTGGGCAATCATTTATAAAACTCACAGAGGCTAATTGTGTTTAACACGGTCAAGCAGGATGGCAATCGCCTGCCTGCTTGTTGATGATAAATGGAACCATTAAAGGGGTGAGGGAGGGGGGCAAAACAACTTTTCTTTCCTGTCACTAATTATATTGTGTCCCTTGAGACTTGATGCTCAAACGGAAAAGCACTAAACATATACCTTGAAGTGATTACAGAGGTCCACCCATGGAACATAATGAATATAGGGTCTGCACAAACAAATTGTCTTTTTTCATTATCAATGCATTTCAGAAAATATTTGAAATGTATCTTTCAATGTTTTGTTTTAACCATCAAACAGTGAACACCTAAATATATTACATTTATAATTAAATGAAAAATTAGAAAAAGCAACTAATATTTTAAAGGGAATACAAAAATGTAGTATAATAAACAGGTTGAGTAAATGATACACACATTTTCTCTTTGAGGTAAAGTATTCCTTTAAGAAGCTAGAAGTATTTCAATGTTTTAATGACATTTAACCAACAGATTAATTGATTGATAAACAAAGTGTTTCAGTTCTACTCTATAGCTTTGTTAGTGACAAAATGCATGGCTACAACCCATACAAAACCATGAATTTGTGACACGATTTTTCCTCAACACAAGAAACTTGACAGGAGAATGTGCCGTACATTTCCATTTCCAAGCATTATGTCACTCAGTTTCAATAAAAGCATACAACATGAGACCTCATTTCATTTCCATGACCTATTTAAGGTGAATTCTCAGCATCATAAGAAAACCTAAACTGTGTTTGACATTAGAACAAAAATAAAGAAACTTGCCAAAAACAAAAGATGAGCGAATCTGTTTGAAAACCAAAACATGGAACTCATCAACAACTGAAAAACTAGATGAGAGGTTACGTTACATCATGATACATGACACCATACGGCTCATTGTTACTTACAGTCTATAGGGGTTACACCCTGAGCTATAACAATAGTAACCTTTTCACACCAATTCAGAGAAGCCTTAATCGTAAAAAGCGAACTCCCAGTCTACTTTGTTCAATATTACTCAACACAAAAACCTGGTCAAAGATCAGCAGACCTACGGAGACAGTATAGCGTGGGAATGAGGAAGAGAGTGAAGTCGACCACTGTTGTTGGGGTACAGGCCTTGAGGGAAAACTCACCAGGATGTAAGAGCTAACTCATATTCAGGCTTCTCAGGGTAGCAGGATCTCACACTTCTGGTTTGGCTCTCCTGGGTCCATCTAATTCAATTTAATTCAAAAGGGGAAATAATACAACCTACCGTATATACTGTAGCAGCATACCTATTTTAGGGTGCGGAATACAGTCTATGGGAATAGCCCAGGAGTTGACCACATTAATCCACCACACTTTTGCGGGAATCACCACTTATAGGTCAAGTTATAGGAATGTAGCTGGTGGGCAACAAAAAGTGTACAAGGCTTTTAAATATTAGACCTTGTGTTTAACATATTTTAATACATTTTTTATTAATTTGGACATAAATTATGACAGGAGAATCAATGTCTTGCCCCTTCATGACAAAAGCCACACTGAAAATGAGTTTCATGGCAAGCTAATGAAACTGATTCAAAAGGCAACAAAATAATTGTTATTCTTTTATTAAAGTATGTTATTTTTATTTCTGCTTTCCTTGAAATGATAACAAGTCCATACTGTAGCATGTCAGACAAACTCAACTACTGACAGATTCCAAGAAAAAGCTTGATATGTGTGCAGTCATGACTTATTGAAACATTCACGCCACTTTTTTTTCCACTGGATGCTGCTACAAAACACCAATCAGCCTCAGAAACATTCCTGTGGTCATGGCTACGTTGAACATATACAGTTACAGCTGGGTTGAGCTTCAAACGCACCGTGTGGATCCTCAGCTGAGCCAGCAAATGAAACATCTTGGGGTCTGAAGGTAACATGTAGGAGACTATCTTTTCTTTCCAGTGCAAGTGGTTGTCTGTGTAGCATTTGTTAAAAGTGACTGGCCAGATATACGAGACAAACTGGACAGAAACAAGTCACAGATCATATGCAATCCTCTTAAATGGAGAACAAAAACTGATATATATTTGCCTGAATACCTCAATAATGATAGTGTAATGTTATTTTGGGAATGACTATTTGACAACTATTTTCAGCATGTCCTTACAAAAAAACATGTTTTATATCTTATGTTGGAATGATAACCAGCAGTGTTTGTGTCACTCAGTTATAACAGTCCGGTGTTCATTGATGTTTATCAATTCATTTTACGAGCAAAAGAAGAAAGAGCACTTAAATAAGTTGCCCGGTGGAGTTTCCTTGTAAAAAAAGCAAGTTATGTTTGTATACATTGTATGTGTCCTTGAAGTCTAACAAATGAGTTGAATATAGTCCAGTTAAAAAGAGTTGTCAGGTGTCAGCAGGTAAGACATTGAATCTCTTTTAGCTGTCTTATGACAGCATTGACATTTTTTAAAAGAGCAAATTCTGTCCTATTTCCTAATGTCAAGGGACTCATTTGGATTATTTGTTGTTGCAGATAGTCACGTTTTAAGATGCAAGTGATGCTTCAATGCAATTTAATCATAGCAGTCAAACAAACAATGCCAATTGGCACAATGTGATTAAATTGCAGCGGTCTAAGCTCAAAATTGGACCAATGTACACAAGATGCCCTTAAGTAATGAGTTGCCCTTAAAGTAATAGCACAATAGCTTAGCCATTTGGCATCAGACAGAGTATTGCAAATTGAAATACATGTTTATTAGTTTACGAAGGTGTTGGTGCACAGACCTCTTGACTCTAGGTGGCATGGCCCGACATGTGCTGCTTTGGATATCTAAGTCAATTATAATGGAAACTGGAATCCACTCCTAACTTGGTTTGGAGCTGACATCAGAATCAGGGGTGTTATTATAAACCTGGGCTTTCCATCAAAGTAACTTAATGTTAGTTCAATTTCAAAGCAAACAATGCCTGCAAGATACGAACCCACAGCGGCTTGTTATCCTGTTAAGCACACAGCTTACTGATTTCTCCCTGAAGACAGACTGGACATAAAGAGGTTACAGACCGTAGCCTTAATGTTTGCCTAATAGAGACACAATACTTAGAAATGTAATCTCCTTTTGGGACTCAAATCTGTGACCTTTCTCAACCCTAATAAGAGTGAAAAATGAAGGTATCCGACGGAGCGGACTGGGCTGATTTGTCGCCCACTGCTGACTGGAGGCCCTGGTGTCTCGGTTCGCAGTTGTTGACACCAGAGGAGAGGTTGTAAAATGAGTCTGTGGCTGTAAATGGCAGAGGTGGCACAGTGTGGAAACACTAGACTGTACCTGTCTCCCTCAGAGAGCACGGCTGGGAATGAGGCCTGCCAGGCGGGGGGTGGGGGTGTACTGGGTAACGGGAGAGGACCAGTGTGTTTAGAAAAAACATGCAAGCGCATTCAGGATACTTGAGATAAAATAGTTTGCATTCCTTGTCACAGAAGCTTTGTTTTTAAAATCAAGATATAAATAAAAACAGTTTTTTACAGAGTTGTTGACATTTAGATGGCTTGAAGTCTGTAGCAACTAGAGCTACGAAAAATATAATTTCCATATCAATCATGTTTAAAATCTCCACACAGACTCACACTGTACCATATATGCTATGCCTACGTTCTGACCAAGAGTCACACGAAAAAGAGGCATCCAGAAAAAGACTGCACAATCCTCATGTTAGCGGAGCTGTAGCCACAAATTGTGTCATAAGACTTAAAAAACACCCTTTTAAAACAGTCAAGTAATTTGTCTTGAGATACACTTAACATTTCCGCTACAGTAGCAGCTATATGCTTGTTGATAATCAGAATTGATTGGCCCCTTCTCATTCCTACTTCATCAATCATTACCTGAGACGTTGATTGATGTGCCTGCATCGAGGATTCCGCTGTTCGGCCGCACGCAGTAACGGCGCGGCGCTGTCGTCTTCACCTTGAAACACACATTCCTGTCTGTAGGGTTGGAGAGCTTGAGATTTGTGGTGACCACGTCTGAGAATGGACCTGTGGATAAGATAAGGTGGATATGTCAAAAAACTCTATAGTGATGTTTTCTTTAAGAAGATTATTCAATGTCCTCCAGAGACAAAATGGATCAGAAAAGACCGCTGAAGCCAAAACGTACATCTACACAAGTCACAATAAATGGCAACACATTATAAAGAGTTATGATCCAACACACCACACACATAAATCTCAAAATACTATTTGTCACTTGAATTGCGTGAATGCCAAATTGCTGAAAATAACACATGCCCAGAATAAATCTTTCACCGACATACAAAATCAAACAAGCTCGTAATATGTGTGTGCAGTCGGAGACATCCAAAGCAAATGAGTGTCCCTTAGTCATCAAAAGGCTAATTAATCATCGACCACTGCTGCAAAAAAAGCATATCAAATAAATAAATGAGGAAATAAAACAAGCAAGCTGGGGAACCTCTTTATATACATATAAATATTGATATAAATATAAAAGATCTTTGCCACAACAGAATATATTAGAAAAGTTTGCACAGATTTACACAGATTTAACACAACAGAAAACAAGCTTCTCTAAGCTTTTAAATTAGATCACTGAAATACCATTAGATAAAGCATATTGAAAATATGTGACAAAGCCTAACAAGATGTGACTTCAATTATAGAAAAATTAATCTATTGCGCAGAATATGGACCTTCTGCTACAAATCTCCTTTATGTGACCTGACATTTTAGATAAACAGGGTTTCCCCGCCAATTCAACTAATGCAGCTTTCTAATAAGTTTGACTGGAAGTTGTCCTCAATGCAAATAAAGTCAGTCAAATTCTCAAATGAAAACCCAAAATACAGCGTCTCAGTAACACACACTGATGACAACTGGATTATTGTTAATAAATCACAAATGTAAACTGAGCCATCTGCTTTTTCTTTTCACATTTCTCTCTGGATTGATTTAGACTACTTGATTAACAAAAACAATTCCAGTTTTAATTATTTACCAAAACCGTAACCGAGTAAATGGTGTTTACAAATCTATAGATCAAAGATCTCTGCTACTGCAGCAACATAACCAGAATAGCTGATGCAGTTTGGCATCAAATACATGTAATTAAAGCTATCTTTGTTGATGCAGGTTGCATATCTCTAAAGCTTTCGGAAGACTGAATGCATTAAGCTGAACAGAATGTCAATAACGCAGAAAGCTCTTACAACAAAAGCTACAGCAAAATGAGACTGTGCTAAATCTATGAGGTGAGCTGAGGTTGTGTGAGTTTTTATCCAGACTGCAGCACTTCTTTTTTTAAGGTTTTCACTATACATCACTGTATCAACTACTTGTGCTGTGTTAGAACTGTCTATTCAATTGGCCGATTACATTTTTTTTTCATTCTTTCTTTAACAGCTTAATTCTGTTAGTGTTTGATCATCTATATTTTTATAACATAATACATTGGTTACAGTGAAACAAGGTTTTGTTCAACCTTGAGTAATGTCTAAGGTTGAAGGGGTAGAGAGGAATGAGGACATGAAGGAGGGGAAAGGTGAAAGGGAAAAACAGCAGGTTCACACGGCTGTGTGAAATCACCGAGTTTAGCCCTGCTATTCAGTCAAATACAGGACAGGAATTCTTGAAATTCAGGTGCTGTTTACACGGCAACGAAACGGGTCATATTCGCTACTTTTCTCTTTCGTATAGCCCGTTCGTTCACACGAGGCCGCAATGGAACCGCGGAAACGGACCCCTGAAACGATAACGGGTCCCAAGGTGGGTAGATCTGCGGACGGAACGCTCAGGTGAGCCAAACGGCTCCGTGTGTGCGTCCTATACCTCATTCACACCAACGCAACTCCGGTTCAAGCTCCGTGCTAGAGCTTTTCAGGTTCAGAACCGGTTCTGCGGTTTAGCTCCGGCTCTTTTCACACCGCCCAGAGTCCGACTGGTGCTGCGTCATTGCGTCATCGTTTGCGTCATGATGTAACCGTTTGCGTGCCTGCTTCATAAAACCAAATCGCGCGGAAACCCCTCACAGCTCACACCGACAACAACAACAACAATGGCTGATTGTGCTCCAGCTTCCTCTGTACCTCTTCGGAAGCCCAGATTCCCAGTAGGTAGCTGGTCTCTTCAGTGGACCACTGCTGCTTGTTAAGTTTCTCCATCGTTGTGTACAAACTGGATGAAACCCGGGCTTTTTGTTGTTGTTCAGGAGTTGATCCCGCCCCTGCCCCCGCCTCGACGTAAGCGTGACGTATGCAGTGTTTTTGCTCCAGCCGGACAATTTTTTGGTGCTTGAAACGAACTGGATTCCGGAGCTAAGAGGCTGCTCCGCTGCGGTGTGAACAGGAAAACCGAACCGGCCCTGAAACACCGTTGGTGTGAATGAGGTACTATACGATCATTTCCTGATAACGATGAAGCCATAGCCCCACCTCTGCTGCTCACTGCTGTAGCATGGTCAGTAGCTACTGCCACTCAGCGGTGCCGGATTTATTTCAGAAGTGGGGGGGGGGGGGCAAAAAGTGCGTGTGTATGTGACATACTTGCGAACCCTCCCGATTTTCGCGGGAGACTCCCGTTTTCCTCCCGGGGTCATATTTCTCCCGCATTTCTCCCGATTTCTGACTAAATATGATTTGTGAATCACGACCTGTTTCATTCTAACATAAAGCTCCAAATGTCACTGTTTCCACTCGGACTTCAATACAGCTACACCATTGTTTGGTTTCCATGGTAACACGTCTCTTTAGTAGCGCACACAAGAGAGGGTGTTCAGCATGGGGAGGAAGATAGTCACAGAAAACAGAACAAGAACGGACAACTCGACCCTCTGCTCACTCCTTTCCTGTAAATTAAACTATACAGGTCCAGCCCACACACATGACAGCGCAGTTGCTCCATCATTCCGTCTCTTCTTTTTTCCTACTCAATACGCTCTTGTTTGACAAGCTGAATGTTGACTGGTGTTTGACTGAAGTAAGCGTGCTTTTTTTGAACACACTCTCTGTGAAAAGTTCCAGTTATTAACTCCGGTATTTACAAAGCTGTCATCTGCACATTTGGAGAAAGTTACAAGCCGTTTGACAGCAGCAAATCTGCATATTTCACAGAAGGCTCGTTTAGTGGTTTTGCAAAGAATGAACCACTCTCTGTTTTTGTACCATTCTGCATTGAAGTACCTTTCTCTTTGCCCAAATAAGCTTTTATTTGCCCGTCTCAATGTCCCGACAACAAACCTCCATGCAGTCGGAACCAGCCTGTTTCGGTTCAATGATGCCGGCGGTTTTGACAGTCTCTGCGGCCGCAGAGCTGCTGCTTTGGGGTTCATCTGGCTGCGCTGGTCCTATGGTTGGAGGGCCAGGCTCCGGAGTTGTGGATGTCAGGGATGTGACATTCAAGTTGTTGAATTTCAGTTTAGTTTGACTGTATTTTGTTTTCTTATGCGCCGGTTCTTCTGACATGTTTGCAAGTTTATCTATCTAGGTTAACGGCTGACACACACAGAACAACGTAACAAATAACGTAACAAATAACGTAACAAATAAACAAATCTAAGCTTTTTTATTGGTTGTAATGTACATGGATACATTTGAATGGTGTGACAATGTCCTATTTGATTGGATTAAAATGTACATATTCTTCCTGTTATGTCTGCCTGCTTTATTTTACCTAATTTAAAGTGACCTGCTCCATCGAAATCAGTCGCATTGACCCGAAGACACATTTTGAGTTGTATACACTGTTGGAAAGAGGAGATTCCTAGCTTTCCAATAATATCAGGATTGTTTTGGTACTCCAAATATTAAGCAAAATATGTCACATTATATAATGACTGTCACCGAGTCATCATTTTGAGAAAAAGGCCTTTAAAGTTTCCTCTTCTCTGGAATCCATCGATCTGATTGATTATTAGCGGAGCAAATGATCAAAGTAGTAACGGAGGGAAAATATTTTCGTTTGGATTGCTGGTCTGGGGGAAGCTCGCGTGTGTGTGTGTGTGTGTGTGTGTGTGTGTGTGTGTGTGTGTGTGTGTGTGTGTGTGTGTGTGTGTTTGTGTATTTTTGCATTTGTGTGTATTGCATTTGTTTCCCGGGGAAAAAACTCACGAGAAACACCGGCTGTTGTTATGCCTGCTGTGATGTAAAGTTACTCTGTTCTCCGCTTGTAATTATGACGTTAAGCTTCAAAGTTGTATTTATCATCTGAATTTTCCGAAACAAGTTTAATATTCTGAAAGCCAAGACTTTGTTAATTTGAAATTAGATGAAAACAAACTGTAACGGACCCTGCCGTGTTATTACTATACGGCTTACATTCATAATTTCAGCGGAGGGAGGGGAAGCGGCGCTGTGGAACAGCAGAGTGGCGAGTGAGAGCCGTCATCTTCCCTTTACAAGCTTCAAAAATGCCTGTAGCTAATGAGATTGAATATAACAATCAAAAATAACAAAATATACACAGCTAGATCAGATCGCGTTCTTTTTAGATGCGACTTTAGAGTAGAGGGGAATTATTGAAACGGGATGTGTACAGTGTTCCGCGGCATCCGCTGCTGCGAAAATGTGGGGCAGGGCTGTAAAGTGGGGGGGCCAATGGCCCCCCAGCTTCCAGCGCCCTACTGCTACTGCTACTGACCATGCTACAGATGTTAGTGCAAAAATCTACAGCTCCTCTACCACAACCATCAGCAACAGGTGGACATGGAGAACTACATGAACTACATGTTGCTAAATCCACGCGGAGAATAAACAGAAGGGCAACCAGGCAACCATGCTCGGGGGTCTTCTTCGCTGCTTTTGGTGTATTTTGTGGCGGAAGTACAGCACAACTTACAGGCCCGGCATATGTATTACAGCGTCTCCAGCGGGTCGATCAGTCTCGTGTGAAGGGAAGACGTTTATTGAGCCGTATCCGTGTGAACGGAAGACTTTTTTTATATCGAATTCGGTTTGTTTGTTTAGTTTGCGTTCCCGTGTAAATGGGGCCGAAGAAACTGTGAGACAATTGGGAAACACATCTTT